GAGGCAATAATGCTGTGTGCGTTGTGATCAACTCACAGATTCTTATAAACCTTGCGGAGGTTTTAGCAAGAGTTTAATCATTTACAAACAAGTGAGAATTTATCTATTTGCATTGTTAATGAACTACAATAAATAAAAGAACTGATATAGTTTGACATCTTCCAATTTACAACTTATTACACAACTTCCCGAGTTCTTAATAACTTGTAGCCAAAAATGTGGCAGAAAAAGAAAGAAATAATACAATAACTAATATTTTGTGAGAAACACTGTAATCATTACAGCTATCACGGCTGAAAATCAATTGTATCAACCCTGTCACAATGACCAATGGCTTATTCATAATCAAGTATACCAAACATATTTCACAGCGGTGTTTTTAGGCTGCAGAGAGTGAATGTTTCACAGGATCATTACTCCACATTCGTGGGCTGACACGTTGCCTGCTGAGATGCACAGACTGTATATAAAAGATGGGTCTGGATTCCAGGTCTGAAAAATGAAGCCAACATGAAAGTGCCTAAAACGTGCTTTCTTTCTAAAGGCCAACAGGGAATGACTCCTGCAGCTGCAAAAGGAAGTCGCATTATGTAGAAGTCTGAAGTCACGAGTTTTATCATATAAACTAATGTTGCTTTGTTTTTTCAGTTTTATGAGCGTTCCAAGTGCGATGTAGTTTCAAAGATTTGGACTTTAACTGCACTACTTATATTGTTGTAATAGTTATACTGACATAAACTTTCTATGATGTGCATGTGTGAATGTGGGTATGCCAATGTTAACCCCTAAAATTATTTAATCCAGTTAAGGTGATTTTTTCCTTCTAATGCAGCAGAATTTGGTTTCCTGTGTCACTAATGGATGAAATCACAAACCAACTCAGCCTTGCCTCTCAAACTTTGTCTCCAAACTGCTCAGCCTGAGCTGTCCTTCTGATGTCCTCATTTCTAATCCTGTCCCTTCTGATCACTCCTGCATCTTCAACCCTGCCACCTCCAGCTCCACCTCCTGTGTTTTAGTCAGTGTCACACTTTCAAAGCCATAGCTTATAGCAGGTATATATTATATAAGAGACAGAGTGCCATTTGGTTGGAACCAAAGGTCAAATGTGTTCGCTCGTATCTGGATATTTGAATCTGTTCTTGTATATGTTGTAATTATGTTGTATTCTTGGCACCATAGGGAAATGACATGACATTGACATCAACTGACACTGGTTTTATCATTTAAAAATTATTAGGTCATGAGCTAGAAAGCAACTCATCTGAAATTTTGTCTGGAAGGAACTGTCAGAAGATGTCTCAATTCGATCGTGGCCAGGCACGGCCCGCCCTGATTTACATCATATCTGCTTAGATTAGCACAAACATGAAGCTGCACAGGCCAGGCCTGTGGCGTCAGTCAACCTCTCTGCCTGGGTGTGGACACTGAGAAGGTGTGTGTATGTGTGTTTGTGCTTGCGTCTACGTTGTACTGAGCTGTTCTCTCTCCATTATCAGATCTTTTTCAAGACACTGTGAACGACGCCACAGAAAATAGCCATTAAAGTCGAATAACAGATTTTTAAAACTGTTTAAATTCATCATTAAAACTCATCCCACAGGTTTTAGAGGTCAATGTGGTGCGACCTGTTGGTTTTGTTGTTCTCTTTCTACTGTTTCTCCTACAGGGTAAATCTCAGTGTGCTCTGCTTTAACTCTCAGCAGTTTTACGTAGGTAAAAAAAAGGCAAGGGGATGAACTGGGGGGGGGGGGGGGGTAATGTAGTTACACAGGAATATCTTAGAGAACACACCTGGGATGAATTGAGTTGGAGAGAAAGAGTAAAACACATCTTGTTAAATGTCAGCTGATACAACAACCTTGTGAGTCAAAACAGTGTGAGAAAGTGGGTGGTGATAGTGTTATTCCTGCTGAGTTGTGAAGTTAATTTCAGCATACTGTTCTATTGTTAACCTCGTTTTATTCGTGTGTCATTGATTGGAAGAACTTAAGATACAGATTGTGGGGTCAGGTAAAGCAACACAGCCATTTAGGATTATTGATTAGCCGTTGCTCCTCTTTGCACCGGCACAACTCATATCATTGTGAGGCCTCTCATCTTAGTTGGCCAGCTGCTAGCAGTACACAATTGTTGCCATAGGGATGGTGTCCAGGGAGACAGCTGTGGCCTTTTAGCAGCAGCCACACAACAGACAGAAGGTCATTCCTCACCGAGGGAACCTTTCTCCAACTGTCCATCACAGATTGTTTCCAGGCAACAGGTCAAAAGCCCTTTTTTTTCTTCCTTCTTCCATCTTCGCAGTGTTTCCTCTTGCCATTTAGGAAGCAAAATAACCAATTAAATTCAAGAAAAAGCAGACACATGGGAATATAACTAATAAGCAGGCAATGAAATTAAGTTTCAGCATCACAGCAAAGATTCAATTAAAAACTTTGAAATAGTAGCTTATATAACTTCCTGGTACCCTGGTCTCACACCTCCCTATAATATATTAGCACCTTTTTAAATTGACATGGGGCAAACATGTTAGCAAACTGTTTCCTTTTTCTCATCCAGTTAATACTGACCCAACATGAGCATTTAAGCTCTCCCTATTAGTCCTGAGTCTTCATGTAGTAACAGACTGACTCCACACCAAAAAGACCCATGAAGCCATGCTGGCCCAAATAAAAATAATTTAAAATGTTAAAAAAAATGTAAATATTTTCTCAGTTTATTATAATCCGAAGTAAATTGTATGCTATTGTTACCTTGGGAATATGTGATTATATACTTTATGCATTTAGGTATGCAGACATCGTCGAGATGACCTATTCAAGTTCAAACCCAGCATCAGAATGGGGAAGAAAGAATTTAAGTAAGAAACTCCTGATCTACTGAGATTTCTGAAAAACAAGCAACTGTTGGGTTTACAGAAAATGGTCTGAAAAAGAGAATGTATCCAGTGTGAGCCAGTTCTCCAGGTGAACATGCCTTGTTGATGCTAGGAGAGAAGCCAGACTGCTTCCAGCTGACAGGAAGGAAACAATAATTCAAATAACCACTCATTATAACCAAGGTATGCAGAACAAATCTCTAAACCAAACCTACAAGCAGAAGGGCTTCAGCAGCAGAATACCACACCAGGTGCCCCTCCTTGGTCATTGCTGCTGCAGCATTTCAATGGTAGGGTAAAAATATAGGGTAAATAACATGAAAGCATGGATCCATCCTGCCTTGTATCAATGGCCCATCCCATTGTGACCACAGTATACCAATCTTGGCTACTACCAGTGGGATAACACACCATGTCACAAAGCTTACATGATCTCAAACTGGTTGGTTGAACATTACAGTGAGTTCACTGTACTCAATGACCTCCAAAGTCTTTAGATCTCAGTACAATAGAGCACCTTTGGGATGTGTTGGAAGAGTAGATTCTTGCCATGAATGCACAGCTGAGAAATTTCCAGCAACTGTGTGATGCCAGACCTCAAAATCCAGGAAACAGTTCTGGTGTACTACCATATTTCTTCTCATCTTACATCAAAGTGTGTTTTATTGGAATTTGTTATTAGGCATCTTTTGACTGTGACAAAGTGGAAGAGCAGTTGAAATGCTTTCCATTTGTCCCATATGTGTTTACCTTTTTTTGCACATTGTACACATTATTCTGTTATTGATTTGCTATTTGTCAAGTAACATTGCTTCACTCACCATCCCGGGTTTGTTTGTGTAAGCGTTCTGTTGCCGGCAAATCAAACATTCTGCAAATTAGGACAAATACTAAGTTATGTTTCTCTATATTTTATTATGTTACAGATTAAGTCCTTTGTTCATACTGTTTTCAGCATTCTCAACAAGACAAGTGATGGAAGGGCTATCCAAAAATAGGCTCTTTTTGGTTTCGTTTAATGCCCCGACAAAGGCCACAGTGCATCTGCTTAAGGAAATGTGTAAAATGAACCCTTTCTCATTACTGAGCTTCTCTTTGATCCATAGCTGAGTCTGTCTTTGCATGAATGACCATGGTGCAGTGCTGACTGTGTGAGTGAAGCTATCAGCAGCAACACCAAAAAGATTGTCAGGCACCCAGCTGGATTGCCTCCTAACAGTATCTCCCGTATTTAAAAATAGCACGCACACACAAAATTACACAGCATTACTGCTTTATGTTGTGGTTACTTTGAATGTTAGGGAGGGAAAAAAAATAAAAGACAAGTTTTGCTTTGACGGTTTTCTGTTTACATAGAGAGAGCAGTTTATCAGAAAGTTTTACATATAACGTTACTTCTCAGTGGAAGAAAGACTGATGGGAGACAGAAAGTTTGGTTATTTTGTCATTTGTACAGTATCTAGCTTTAATAATTTTTGTCTGGAAGGAACTGTCAGAAGATGTCTCAATTCGATCGTGGCCACAACCTTTAACAGCAGGTTGTGGCAAATTTTCAAATATGAAATTATGTAATTGATGTTATTATTTTAACTTGAAAAACACATTCAAATAAAACAAATTAAAAGGCTGCAAAGGAGGAACGGAGCTTGCAGATTTCACTCTCGAACTGATTTCAAACGATTGCCGCTCATAGCAGCAGCAGCCACTACGCTCTGTCAGTTCCCCTCTGTCAGTGTGTCAGCGCTCCTGCTAATGGGCATGTTGCCAAGACAACAGCTCAAACACCTTGCCATCTGGGACCACCTGGTGGAGGCCTCCAAAAGACAACTTCACTAACTTGACTTCACTACACAAATACATGCATGAAGGCAGAGTGCAAACTGGCACTCGCATCTACAACACACACCCAACCACCCGCCTATCTGTTTTGCACTGAATTATGCTAGCCTACTGTGCTCCTTTAGTAATATTTCATCTGGTATATCCAAGCCAAAAGAATATATATCATTTGAAATATGACTGCGTTCGCTGTCAGAAGAGACAGACAAATGTAGAAATTATGTGTCAAAAATTATGTCTGTGGAAAATGACATAACTGGGGTTCATAAAGTAGCAAGCATACCACTTTCTTATACTGCTGTTTCTCCTGGCGAAGTGTGGTTACTTCAAGCTTTAGAGCTCGGTTTCTCTCCTCCAGCAGTCGAAAGCGGCTTGCGTGGTAGACAGTGGAGTGGCCTGTAGCTTGCTGAGATGAAACATCATATCTGGACTGCAAGACAAATAATAAAGATAAGAATAACCAGTGTTGAACATTCCTGTATTATTAAATACAATATCATTTTAGTAGTAGCTGTAATAGTGCTGGTAGAGCCAGGCTAACACTTCTGTGAAGCAGTCCTTCAAGACCAACATTATCCTGCTGCTAAGATGTTACAAGTGATCATGTTCATATGATGCCATGCAGGTTTAGAGGTTTAAAGCCTCAGGCAGACTGGGACCAGTTGGTCAGCCCCAGGCACCACTGGTTGTTAGGATGAATGTGTATTCCATGACACCAACAACCTATATATATACATATACATATATATAAAAACACCCAGCACGCCCCTGCGGGCGGTTTATCCTTCAAGCTCGGGTCCTCTACCAGAGGCCTGGGAGCTTGAGGGTCCTGCGTAGTATCTTAGCTGTTCCCAGGATTGCGCTCTTCTGGACAGAGATCTCCGATGTTGTTCCCGGGATCTGCTGGAGCCACTCGCCTAGCTTGGGAGTCACCGCACCTAGTGCCCCAATTACCACGGGGACCACCGTTACCTTCACCCTCCACATCCTCTCGAGCTCTTCTCTGAGCCCTTGGTATTTCTCCAGCTTCTTGTGTTCCTTCTTTCTGATATTGCTGTCATTCAGAACCGCTACATCGATCACTACGGCCGTCTTCTTCTGTTTGTCTACCACCACTATGTCCGGTTGGTTAGCCACCACCATTTTGTGCGTCTGTATCTGGAAGTCCCACAGGATCTTAGCTCGGTCATTCTCCACCACCCTTGGGGGCATCTCCCATTTTGACCTCGGGACTTCCAGGTTATACTCGGCACAGATGTTCCTGTACACTATGCCGGCCACTTGGTTATGGCGTTCCATGTATGCCTTGCCTGCTAGCATCTTGCACCCTGCTGTTATGTGCTGGATTGTCTCTGGGGCATCTTTACACAGCCTGCACCTGGGGTCTTGCCTGGTGTGATAGACCCCAGCCTCTATGGATCTTGTACTCAGAGCTTGTTCTTGTGCTGCCATGATTAGTGCCTCTGTGCTGTCTTTCAGTCCAGCTTTGTCCAGCCACTGGTAGGATTTCTGGATATCAGCCACCTCCTCTATCTGCCGGTGGTACATACCGTGCAGGGCCCTGTCCTTCCATGATGGTTCCTCGTTTCCCTCCTCTTTCTTGGGTTTCTGCTGCCTGAGGTATTCACTGAGCACTCGGTCAGTTGGGGCCATCTTCCCAATGTATTCTTGGATGTTCGTTGTCTCATCCTGGACTGTGGTGCTGACACTCACCAGTCCCCGGCCCCCTTCCTTCCGCTTAGTGTACAGCCTCAGGGTGTTGGACTTGGGGTGAAACCCTCCATGCATGGTAAGGAGCTTTCTTGTCTTGATGTCAGTGGCTTCTATCTCCTCCTTTGGCCAGCCTATTACCCCAGCAGGGTACCTGATCACGGGCAGGGCGTACGTGTTGATGGCCCGGATCTTGTTCTTACCGTTCAGCTGACTCCTCAGGACTTGCCTGACCCTCTGCAGGTACTTGGTGGTTGCAGCTTTTCTAGCGGCCTCTTCATGGTTCCCATTTGCCTGCGGGATCCCCAGGTACTTGTAACTGTCCTCTATGTCTGCAATGTTGCCTTCTGGTAGTTCAATCCCCTCAGTTCTGACTACCTTCCCTCTCTTTGTTACCATCCGACTACACTTCTCCAGTCCGAACGACATTCCAATATCATTGCTGTATAGCCTGGTAGTGTGGATCAGTGAATCGATGTCTCGTTCACGCTTGGCATACAGCTTGATGTCATCCATGTACAGGAGGTGGCTGACAACTGCTCCATTACGTAGTCGGTATCCGTAGCCAGTCTTGTTAATGATCTCACTGAGGGGGTTCAGGCCTATGCAGAACAGCAGTGGGGACAGAGCATCTCCTTGGTAGATCCCGCACTTGATGGTGACTTGTGCTATGGGCTTGGAGTTGGCCTCTAGTGTTGTACGCCACATCCCCATTGAGTTCCCGATGAAGGCTCTTAGGGTCCCATTGATCTTGTACAATTCTAGGCATTCCAGTATCCAGCTGTGGGGCATTGAGTCATAGGCCTTCTTGTAATCAATCCAGGCAGTACACAGGTTGGTCAGTCTGGTCTTGCAGTCTCGGCTGACTGTTCTGTCTACCAGTAGCTGGTGTTTTGCACCTCTGGTATTCTTGCCAATCCCTTTCTGTGCCCCACTCATGTATTGACCCATGTGCCTGTTCATCTTAGCCGATATGATGCCTGACAGGAGCTTCCATGTAGTACTGAGGCAGGTTATTGGTCAGTAGTTGGAGGGGACCGGTCCCTTCTTGGGGTCCTTGGGGATCAGGACCGTCCGACCTTCGGTTAGCCATTCCGGGTGTCTCTCGTTAACTAGCAGCTGGTTCATTTGTGCTGCCAGACGCTCGTGGAGTGCAGTCAGCTTCTTTAGCCAGTAGGCGTGAACCATGTCGGGCCCTGGTGCTGTCCAACTCTTCATACTGGAGACCCTTTCTTGGATATCTGCCAGTGTGATGGTTACTGGACCCTGTTCAGGGAGGTCGCTATGGTCTGCCCTCAGATCCACTAGCCACTAAGCATTGCCGTTATGGGTTGTGTCCTTCTCCCATATGCTCTTCCAGTATTGCTCCGTCTCCAGCCTTGGTGATGCTTATCTCTTATTGTTCCCTTGCCACTGAGAGTACACCTTTGCTGGTTCTGTGGAGAACAGCTGGTTTATTCTCCTGCCTTCTATCTCTCTGGTGTACCTCCTCAAGCGGATGGCCAAGGCTGTGAGTCTTTGCTTGGCAGTTTCCAAGGCCTCAGGTATGGACAGTTTGCTGTATTTCTTATGCACCTTCTTTGCCACACCTTTCTGCAACTCCGTTAGTTGGCTAACCTCCCTCCGTGCTACTTTGATCTTGCCCTCTAGCCTCCTTCTCCATGGAGGGTACTGCCCCTTGTGGCTGTTCAACTTGTAACCAAGTATCTCACTGATCACTGTTGCTGTATTGTAGATCAGCTTGTTGGTGTCGGTAATCGTGGTTGTAGGTATCGTCCGTAGTGCTGCATTAACATCATCTAGCAGACCTTCTGAAGGTACTTCCCGTAATCTTGGTAACCGGCTACGGGGGATCCAGGTTTCAAGCTTGGCCATGATCCTATTTTTCAGGTCAGTTCCTCTCGCGCATATATATATATATATATATATATATATATATATATATATATATATATATATATATATGTATACATAAATATTTGTCCAGATACAGACGGACAAAATGGTGGTGGCTAACCAACCGGACATAGTGGTGGTAGACAAACAGAAGAAGACGGCCGTAGTGATCGATGTAGCGGTTCCGAATGACAGCAATATCAGGAAGAAGGAACACAAGAAGCTGGAGAAATAGCAAGGGCTCAGAGAAGAGCTCGAGAGGATGTGGAGGGTGAAGGTAACGGTGGTCCCCGTGGTAATCGGAGCACTAGGTGCGGTGACTCCCAAGCTAGGCGAGTGGCTCCAGCAGATCCCGGGAACAACATCGGAGATCTCTGTCCAGAAGAGCGCAATCCTGGGAACAGCTAAGATACTGCGCAGGACCCTCAAGCTCCCAGGCCTCTGGTAGAGGACCCGAGCTTGAAGGATAAAACCGCCCGCAGGGGCGTGCTGGGTGTTTTTATATATATATATATATATATATATATATATATATATATATATATATATATATATATATATACATATATATATATATTAGATAGTGAAAAACAGGAACTTTCTGTCATTTAATTGTTTATCTGTTACATAATTACTTTGCTGTAGTATTTATCGATGGGAAAAGCTATAAAAAGTTTAGAAATCTATGCACTCCTTCACATTTCACATTTTCCAGAGCCATCCAGTGGTCCCAATTGGAGTCTTTGCCAGGCTAATTCTGGCCCCCTGGATTTATGTTTGATACCTCTGTCCTAAACCAAAAAACTAAATCAAATGTGACCCTGTGCATATTAGCAAACATATTATCCACAGGGAAACATGAAAGTGTCTGTCTATTATCGTCTAATGGCAATTACCCAAAACCTTAAAAGTGAAATTCAGGTGGATCTCATGGAAGATGTGCAGCGGACAAGTTTTGTCATGAAATCCTCCAGTGTGTATAAAACAATCTGTTGTCCACACAGGAGTCATCACCCTTGTAATAATATTTAAACACACAATCACATTATATTATTAATGTGGATATCAGTGCCACATTTACTAGAGATATTTCACTACAAAACCTGGCAACCTCATGGTGACCTAACAGGAAACGTAAGGCAACCATTATCTGCATAAAATCATCTGGGACTTTATTCAAGTTACTTAACCAACCAATTCACATGATTAATATACAGTAAAGAGAAGCCATATTGACAGTGTTTCTTACAACAGTCTACTGCTTCAGTCCCATATGGTCAGTGACAGGAAAGGGATTAGTGGGTCTGATAATGAAGCTGCTGCAGCTCAGTCTGCACATCAGTGTATTTTTTTTAACATTTTCTTGATGGCATAAAAAAGCCTTTAAAATCCAAAATTTCACTTGCTTAAATTCTCAGTGGAAATGTAGTGCATATCTGCAACAGGCAGGCTGGAAGCATCCCTTGTGCTGCTGAGTTAGTCTTCTTTCATGAAAGACATCCATCGGAGCAGTTTGGTGGCACTTTTCCATTCATAGCTGTCGTGTTTTGGAATAGAACTGCTATGCTGTCTGTCTTTTTTCAAAGTTTCCAATCACGCTGGAGCTACCAGAGGGACTGTAGATAGCAGAGGTATTAGGCAGCTTTTTTGCTGAAGTGAGAGAAAATCTGATTTAAGATACAGTAAAAATGTATTTGTGCCTCCTGGAATTAAACACAACCCCGAAGATAGAAGGATGCATTTTGCTCTGATATATATACAGAACATTCCCCTGTACGTAAGGCTAAAGAAAGATTTGGTGCTGTGCTACACTCTGCTTACTTT